GAGAGAGAGAGAGAGAGAGAGAGAGAGAGAGAGAGAGAGAGAGAGAGAGAGAGAGAGAGAGAGAGAGAGAGACTGACCTGCTTGGCTGCTCTGTGCCCTTTCTGTGCCCGCTGTTAGCCCTGTTGTGCCTTATCCATGTCGGCTCCTTGCCTTCTGTGCCCTGCTTCTTGCTCCCTCGATGGCGGCAGTAGCACGTGTGCATGCCTCCGAATGTCGTAGCGGGAGAGGGGCAGCCGAACTCATCGATGTGGGCTTCAAATTCGAAGCCCGCTTGCACTACCAGGCCGCCGAATCGCCAACCCCCCTTTCAAACGGCCAGAAAAAAGAAGGAACTCCAGAATGGAGTCCAACGGACAAACAAATGAAAAAAATTCCGGCCCTACCGGATACAGCGTGAAGGCTTACAAAAAATGGGCCCATATTTTTGGTTGGCGGCCCAGGCTGTAATGAAACGCCCTGGGCCGCCAATTGTTTTTTGGCCGTTGCCCAGACCTGTCGGAAATCCGGACCGGTATACAGTCCTTGTGTTAGCCGTACCTCCTGAAGCTGAGGCCCCACGCGGTTGACCAACCGAGGGTTCACCTCGATTCCGGCGTCCTGCTCGTCTGCACGTGTCCTCCGTGTGGAGAAAGGTCCGACATCTTTTACACCACTCCGAATCCGCACATGCCAATCTGATCTCGAGTACGTCCCCTTGATAAGTTTGCACACATATCTTGTCCTTCATATTAGACTTCTTAGCTGGATCAATATCAAAGCGGAGGTTTACTAATTTATGATCTGCTTCGTCTGCCTCCGGTTTGTGCACCTTAATGATGTGACCAACGCCAGCTTCGATATGAGCATGCAAAAAAGGCATCTCATCGAGAGGCACACCAACTGCTACCACCCAAAACGTGTCTCTATCGATCAATTGCCTCCAATCCCTTACTTCAGCACGGGTCATCCAAGGCTTGAATTCCGTGCGATAGGTGGTGCCTGCGAGATCGATGAAGTCCGACTTCTTTCTCAGCATCCAGTTCGTGATGTCTTGAGATCTTGGTATGTACGAAATCACGTTTGGACTCTCCACTTTAATTTGTCCACGCTTGAATTCAGCACCAAACACCTCATCCCTAATCCAAACTTCCTCATAGGCTCGAACCACATCCTCTTTGACTTTCTTCGGGAGGAAGCGAGCCCCATCCCGAAAGATCACTGTCACTGTTCTTTCTTTTAGCCATTTGACTTTTATTTCGTCAAGGGCAGAGTTCAAAACAAATTTGACTTCTCTACCATTCACTTCCATTACTCCAGGATCAATATTGGTCAGTAAGATTCCCTCCTCATAACAAGCTCTTATCACCTCCCGAACTCTTTCCTCCTCCATGCAGGAATCGCTTGGCACTTGAGCACGACCATCCCCCTCTTCCTGAACTCTTTCAGTCTCCATACTGGTAGGGAGCACCTCCCCTACACTATCCATAAACAGTCCTTCTAAAATGAAGGAAGAAACGCCAGTCAAACAAAGTTACTGTAGGAGGCGAACGCCAGAACACTTAGGAGTTCTGACCGCTGACACCATCGCTATGGTCCAACACCATAGATTGTCGCAAGATCGACAATATCGAGGCGTCACCTACGGCCGAAATTCCACGCCGGAACCTCCCGCCGCCAGTCAGGTTTGCCAGGGCAAGCGACGCCAGGGTCGAGCGCAGTGCGCCAGCCGAAGCGCCTTTCCGCGTCCGCCGTCCCCCCGACTCATTCTCTCTCAAAAATTTCACCTCACACCGAATCAATATGTGCTGTCAAGTCGTGTCAAGGTATAACATTAAAAAAAAAAAAAAACTTTTGATGGGACAGCAGGAACTGCACCTCACGTGGCACACATTTCGTAACTGTGCGTCCCCAACTGCAGGCATCTTTCATTCATTTCCCCCCCCCTTTTCTTTTACAGGGAAGGGCACATCTCTCTACCCTTTTGGGAAATGACCATGTTCTTGGACGCAAGTGTGTGTGGTATACACGTAGTAACAGTTATCACACACAACCTTGTAGCTTCTCTTCATCATGCAGGAGAATGACCTGCAGACAAAAAAAGAAAAAGAAAAAGAGAAGATGACGACGAAGAAGAAAAAGAACGACCTACAGACCAAGCCGCCTTGCTTGGAAGGGAAGATGTCACAGTCCCTCCAGGGCTTGTTCCTTGTTCACCGAATGCAAAAATGGCGATTGTATCATTACATATTCTGTGTCAAGATGCACGCCATTCTCACATGGAGTTCCTATGGCCCGGGGCCTGTTCCTCATTCGCCGAATGCAAAAATGGCGATTGTATCATTACATATTCTGTGTCAAGATGCACACCATTCTCACATGGAGCTCCTATGGCCTGCCTCTTTCATTCAAAAGAGGTAATGCCGCAGCCACAGGCGAGTCTCTGCTGCACAGCGATCTTGAAAGCTGAAGAACCAAAATGAGGGCATACACTCGCAGTAGCACTAGCACTAGCACTTTGCTAAACGTATCCGACTGCTAAAGTCGAGAGCTTATTATATACAAAGTCTGTGCCCCGAGGGCTGCAGTTCTTTCTCTGCGATTTGTTGTGGGGTGCGCTCTGTTTTGTCCGAAGCTTGCTGAGCTTCAAGCTTTCTGCAATCGATTACAATTAACACTCAGGTCATCGAAAAAAAAGTGATCCGCAGATGACTTCGCAGATTCACATTGTATTAAAATTTAAAAATAATGCCCCAATTAACCACCACTATTCTACACCCAGCTAGGCCACCTGTTACATCTTCGACTCACACGGGTCCTACCGGACCCGACTTAGGGCCGGAGGAACACACCAGGGCCTAAAGGCCCGACCTTTGGATTACAGGCCCTAAAGGCCTGATTTTTGAACTAAGCCCWGCGGGTAGGCCCAAACGACACTTTGTTTGGGCCTGGCGGCGCTCTTGAAGCTKCCGCCCGCCGATTGAGGCTGAACCGTCCATCTGGACGGTCCAGGGTCTGGCCTGGCCTCGCAGCATTGAGGCCAGACCATTGCCTACCGGTATAAGTACCGGTATCCTGSCTCAGTTGGGGATCGGCCTACCGGAACTCTACCGGCACGGCATGGTCAGTACCAGGGTACTGTTTTATGCGCTAAACTTAGCGCAGGGGCTGAAGCAGGAGCGCAGGGGCTGAAGCAGGAGCGCAGGGGCTGAAGCAGGAGCGCAGCATAGCGCAGCAGCGAGCGGAGCAGCAGCAGGGCGACTGAACCAGCACGGCGGCCATTGCCGCCTGAGGAGCTTGGAGGGTCTCTCCTCCTCTCCCTCGCCGGTCCCCTCTCTCTCTCTCTCTCTCTCTCCTCTTCTTCTCCTTCTTCTTCTTCTTCTTCTTCTTCTTCTTCTTCTTCTTCAGATTGGAGACTATCCAGTTGGATAGAGATCAGGGTTGGATTTCGGTGATACGAGACTGTGGTACTTACCTGATTGGAGACTTGGAGATTGTTGAGGTTGATACTCGGCTGGATCACAGTTGGACACCGGTTACATCTGGACTCGGTTATCTTCGACATTGGTGACCTTTGGTCCTCGACATTTTGATCTTGTTATATGACATTCTGGACTACCATTTTGGAGACCTACCGGACTCTATCTCGTGACCTATCGGTGTGATCTACCTCCTACCTCCTTCGTCTCTCCTCCCACCTTTCATCTGTGTATGTGTGTACGGGATCTGGGTATCGTCTATGCATGACCCAGACCCCCCCCATCTCATGATTGTACGTGTGTGGAGTGATGCCATGTAGGTCAGTCTATGTGAGTCAGTCTATGTGAGTCAGTTCGTTATCAGACTTCCGCTGCATAAATGCTCATCCTATATTGGTTGATCTTTGGTTCTGCCCATACTCATTGAAGTATGTANTGATACTCGGCTGCATCACAGTTGGACACCGGTTACATCTGGACTCGGTTATCTCCGACATTGGTGACCTTTGGTCCTCGACACTTTGATCTTGTTATATGACATTCTGGACTACCATTTTGGAGACCTACCGGACTCTATCTCGTGACCTATCGGTGTGATCTACCTCCTACCTCCTTCGTCTCTCCTCCCACCTTTCATCTGTGTATGTGTGTACGGGATCTGGGTATCGTCTATGCATGACCCAGACCCCCCCCATCTCATGATTGTACGTGTGTGGAGTGATGCCATGTAGGTCAGTCTATGTGAGTCAGTCTATGTGAGTCAGTTCGTTATCAGACTTCCGCTGCATAAATGCTCATCCTATATTGGTTGATCTTTGGTTCTGCCCATACTCATTGAAGTATGTATCAGTTTTGGTATCGGAGCAGACCAAAATGGATCTGCTCACCAGTTAAGACCATTTAGAATTAGGTTATCACGTTTGATCTTCTAAATCGGCGCTGAAGTAGTATCAAGTTCAAAGTTGCAAATTTTTTTTCGGTATTCTCGCTAGTTCGGCAATTCCGTTTCAATTTAGTATTCGGACTTTAAAATTCGGATTTCTGTTATACACGGTATGCTGTTTAATGAGATCCGAGAGATTGATACTAATCCAACATTCTGTTTGATTCGGATTTCTGGGTAGGTATTCGTAATTAGGGTTGAATCAGTATCATGTTTGAAATTCGGTTTTTCTGATATTCATTCAGCATYCCGTTTTCGGCATTCTGTTGTAAATCCTATATTTCGTTTTTCTGTTGAGATTTCCGTTGTCTTTCAGTATGGGAATTAGGGTTATGAAAACCTTTTGGTTTTAGATCAACTTGGGGAAATCCGAACGTTTTGGGACCGTAAATTCCGGAAATTTCGCCGAAACGCGGAAATTAGGGTTGGGACTGAAATTTTTGCGAATTTTTTTTTCGTTCTCCTTGTTTGAGAAATTCCGAAAATAGGTTTAGGCTTTTAAAAATCGGATTTTGACGGTGGGAAGTCTCGAAAATTCGCATTTTTGAAAATTCGAGCGTTTTTCTTCTGAAAATTTCCGAAATTTTTTTAGCACACTAAGCCGTATCTGACCTTAAATTGCAACTACCGGGCAGTCCACTTATTAAACGGTGAACTCCCGGTCTCATATTGATCTCAAAGAGACCTAATCATAATACCTTTCAAATTCGTTATTATTTACAAACATTGTTTACCGATTATCATTCGGATTTTTTTTCATTAATTATCATTAATTAATTTTATTGATTAAATCGTTATAAATTCCTTATTACGAATTTTTCGAAGGGTTTACGGGAAATTATTTTTTTCCGTTTGATTAGGTGTCTACAGTCCATCAGTGGGACAGGGGATTGTATGTATATTGCTTGATTGTTCTACCCCTGTTCCCACTCTCCCTACCCCCCCCGTGTTCTGTGATTACCGGGACTTCTCAAGTACCGCATCAATTCAAACTGATGTCGACGGAACAGGACACCGGGGCACTGCCACGACGCAGTGCCAGAATCGCAGTTCGTGCCCGCCCTGCAGTACCTCCAAGACCGAAGAAACTCAGCAGACGGACGGCCCCAACAGCATCAAGTACGGCATTGACGGTACAAGACGCCACCGGAGATCATCCCGCATACCCAGTCCGAGGAGCCAATGAGCCCGCGGCTGATTATCGTGGGCGGCTACTGGCATTTTTAGAAGCCGTAGCTGCCGTCGAGGCCCGGAAGGAGACAGCAGAGGAGGAACGTCAGCGGCTAGCCAATGAAGCGGCAGCCGAAGCTCAACGAACGACTGAGACTGACGCAGCGACACGAGACAGACGGAATGCCAGCAGCACGGAGTCCTTGATTGCTTGTGAGCATCAGTGGGCGACGATACTCCAAGACATGATCTTTGTGCCTACAGAAGCGCAGGCAGACCCAACACCGGCGGAGG